ACACAAAAGCTGCTTAGTTTTAGCCTTAGCGCACATCGTAACGTAAATTGCCACTGGCTCGCCGCTTGCGGGCATGAACTTTCACGAAAAAACACCAATTTCATACCGTGTGCAAGTTCAGTTTGGCTTTGGCACAATATATAATATTAACTGAGAAGTTTACAGTGTGCGCTCTAAGTTTTGTATCTTTTTCACTGTCGACAAGACTCGCTGCGATAACAATGTAAAAATTGCAGGCATTTTGTAGTTTTGTTAAGGTGTACCGCTGACCAGCAAAATACTGTATCGCGCCCCAAAAAACGTATTTCCGCGGTGTCTGTTTTACCACGTACAAAGGAATCGAAAACTCTTGCAACTTCTTACCAATCCTTTTGCTTTTTGAACGACACATTCAACTTAACTACGTGGTAGAGGTAATTCACACCCCTTGGCGTATCTCAATTAGGTTGTGGGAAAGTGATAACACATTTTGTGGTGATATGGAAAAAAAAAAAATAGTAAATAAAAATATACTTCCAATTCCGGTCTGTGATGGGTGTACAACTGAACTCTGTAGTCGGATATGAATATCAAATTCGTGTTCTTGGTTACCGTGACACGGCGTAAGGTTTCCCAACCCCTGCGGAGCAACACGAGGGGATACTCCCAGATATAAGCAATATGGATATGCGCCGCTGTGACGGGTATGGTTTTCTGGGAGTTTACTGGGATAGTGTACCGCAATCAGAGAGTTTTGGTCTAGAATAGGGTTTAATATATATTTAATATATACACTAAGCTGGAGGAATTTGAAAAAGCAGCAATCACTAGAAATTTTACATTTGTTTTTGAGTGAAACTCGAGCAAAGAAATATCATGATTATCTGAACGTCATCGTTTTCGAAAAGCTTCGTTTTCAAAATGTTTTCTGTCCACGCTAAAACGTAAAGCCGGTGTTTTCAAATTCCTTCGGTTTGATGAGCGTTTTCGAAAAGCTCCGTTTTTATGACGGTTTAGTCAGTGGACTGAAGACCTAACGGGAGAAATAAAGCTCCGTTTTCAAATTCCCTCGGCGTTGTGTGACAGGGCCTAAAACGGAACTTTCGGTTTCCCTTTATGATGCCTATATAGCTGTTTTACTCCTCTTCGCCACTTTGATCTGTATTGCAGAGAGAAAGGAAAGGCAATTAACTCAATACCTACCTTGAGCCAGGCTTCCCATGCATAAATGTAGGATAATTCCCGCCAGTAAAACGATTAATATGTTACTAGTCATTTTGAATTTACAAAAAAGTCTGAAAGAGATGGCAAAAATATAAAACAGTTAACTTAAAACCAACTGGATGAAAGTTTTCAAAAACGTAGCTTGATTTGATTTTGTGTTTTAGTGACCTTCCTCAACATTCAGTGAGGTAACAAAGAAAAAGGAATCTATGGGAGAAATTTCTATGTCAAGCGCCAAGTCAGTTGTAAAAAGAATTTCCATGCGTCTAGTTTACGTTAAGATCTTCAAAACCTTAATTATGAATAGCACAACTATTATTTAGCTGAAGGTAAAAAATTCAAACCGTCAAAAATTACTTACATCCCGTTTCAAAGAAAATTTTTTACTCTAGAATTAATTGGAAAAGGAAGCACAACACTTATCTTACTATCCGAATAAAATGATTAATTCGAACAGTCGTGTTTTCGCCCGAGTTGACTTTGAAGGCAATTTTTTATTATTATTATTATTTTTTAATTCAGTGCATGCACATCATACTCAAAAGCATGAACATGAAGTGGAAAAATGTTACTCGGAGTCGATTAATATACGATTTTTCGTACTCTAATAGGTGACAATTAAGTTTACGGCTCGTTCGCTCTTTACATTTTTTCAACTATAAACATTAAAAAAAGTAATAATAGACTAGAGGATTAGTGATCTTACCTGAGCTAGTGTCTTGATCGCTGACGAGGTACAACTAAGTATTAAAAGAATCTACATTTTCATTTAAAAGCACATTTTCGAGTGAATTAACCTATTACGAGATTCCGAGTATCAACTCATAAATTGCCATGATCACGTAATTTCGTTAATGTCAACTCTAAAACGCTGCTTTTACACTAACCCAATATCCCATAGTCAATAATTTTTGTCTACAGTGGAGTAATATTGTAAAAAGAAAGTAAACGTTGACAAGCTTTAGAAATAAAAGAAGTTAAATATTAGCCAGGTATTGGCGTGCGCTTTTGTTCCAAAATAGCCCTCTTGGCTTCATAAAGAAAATAGATCAATATAGAACCTTCTAGAAACCTTCTAGAAAACTTTTCTTTTCTTTTCTAATTTATCTTTTTGTTGTTTTAAATGTCTTTTAGTCGACGATATTATAAGCCAGCCAATGACAAAACAATAACATGACAAAATGTGTTATGCAATTTAGTCCAAACACAAAAAAAGAAAGCTAAATATCAAGTGACGGTACACATCGAGGTCTATCAGTCTTTAAAATATAACTTTGCTTTTGAAAATAGCACAATAATATTTCGCAAAACTTAGTAATTTTTGACGTAAATAATGTCGTCAAGATGGATTTCAATAACGTAATCTCTGGCGTATTTTTGTCATGGGTTTCATGTTAACAGTAAGCAACTCTTTTCTTTTTTTTTTCAGCACTCATTGCGCATGAACAGGAATGTCCAATTGATTAGGTAGTAGCAGTTCCTACCATCGCAATAGTTATGGGCATGTCATCAAGAAAGTTATTTTAAAATACGAACACATTCAACCTGTGAGCACCTTTTCTTAGCGTTTATCCGCATGACATATTTTCTAGCGGTTGTCATGTATGGAAATAAATAAGCTATTTTTATCTATATTTTTATAGTTATTTATAATTAGGTAAGTAAAGCTCTCGATCGCTAAGATCAGTAGATTCGGTCATACTCCAATGTTACCTCCACATGTACATGTTTGGTTCCTCAAAGCGATGGAATTAAATATCCCCTGCTTCGTGCTGAAAGTTTTATTTTATGAAATGAGACCAGTCTCGTCCCCCATAATATATAACAGTTGTTCCTTAAATACAAAAACGAGCTCAAATTCGCGTTTTATATTAGTCACTTCCAGTAGATGAGTATTCAATAATGTGATAGGTGTGAAACAAGAATTAATAATCAGTCAATCAGTCAACTACATCATTGACCAGGAAAACCAGCATTTCATAACTTGAGAAAAGTCACATCGTTTCGTTTCTTTATTTCTTAAGTTATTTATCCGTAGCAGATGTCCTAGTGTAAATGTATGGTGAATTTATTTATACACATTAATTCGTTCCGTGTGGATGTTCGAGTACTAAAAATATCCTTGACGGGATGTGGTCATGTGCTACGATTGCCCCATTCCTTGAAATAGTTTTAGCGCTTTCTCTTTCTATTACTGACTTACGTGATTTATTTATCACTTCATATTGGTTTTCAGGGTTGCATAAGATCGTCACAGCAGCATCTACACCGTGTACATGTCAATATCGTTCTGTATTGTTATATTGCCTCCTCTCGAAACTGAGCATCAGACTGAGATAGATGCCTTCACGCTCTTCCTGCTTTCCATTATTTCCCATTATTGGCTTCTCGTGTACATTTTGATCTTTCTATTCACACATCGAACAGAAAAATTAAAATCATGAATATTTTTATAAAGCGTAAAATCATTCTTTCAAGGTTTTTTACTTTTTCCTCTTTCCATTTTTTTTGTTTTGTTTTCCTAAGTGACGTCAATCAAGAATAAGAGCCATTGTGTCTTGAAATATTTCCCAATACAACTTCATAAGAATCACTTTGTACCCAGTGATTCTTGTACGCTGAATAAGGGCCCTTGAAGGACTACGAGAAATAAATTATGGTTGAAAACAAGGAATTACGCATTTCAATCGCTACCTCTAAGCAGCCACTTAGTTCTTCCGATAGCACTGCATTCTTTTAATTCCATAAAATAACGCAGGCATGTTAGCTGCTCTTAACAAAAATTTAAAGGTGCCTCTTATTAAATCGTTAGATCACGGTCTTGTCAAAGCCCTCTGCCATAAAAGATGGATGCACGAGAAAGTGCTCTTTCTCGCTACTTAGGCTCCACTTAGGCTTATTTCACACAGCGCCGGAGACATTTTAAAACGGGGTTTTCGCTCTGAAAATGCATCAAATGTTTTCCGTCCTCATTACCCTGCAGAAATTTGAAAACGCATCAATCACCACTCATTTTGGATTTAGATTTGTGTTTGACGAAAACTCGTACGGGGAAATCACATGATTATTGGGGGTTCACCGTTATCGAAAAGCTCTGTTTTCAAAATGTTTTCCGTCCACACTAACACGCATTTCCGGCGTTTTCAAATTCCTCCGGGTTGAAAAACGTTTTCGAAAAGTTCCGTTTCGTGACCAATTCTTATGGAAGGTATACAGTAACCGTAGTAATAAAACTGCGTTTTCAAATTTCTCCGGTGTATTGTGAACGGGAACTTGCTTAATACTAGGACAGTCTCTTTATTTATAGGGCATTAATTATGGTATAGCTGCAAACTCGCACAAGAAAAAACGGCTTCGCGATCTATTGTTTAGTTAAGTTGTTACCATGACTTTGGCTTGCATTCCAACAAGCAATTTTACAAGAATGCAGACTATCAATCAAATTTAAACACAACAAGTTTCGATTCGCTGTTTTAATTTGACTGATCAAATGAGACATCATAAAGAAAATAGTCACGGCTATCTCACGACAGTTCCTTTTTAGCAGTGAGTGTTGCATTAGCACTTCCAACATTTGCAACTGGTTTATCATCCCACTGCACATTGAAATCCAAGCCTCCCACGTCATGAAACGTGCCATGGAGCTCGAACTCATACAGACTTTCATCAGTCAGCTTGTCGATAACGTTCTGTGCGTTTGGTATGTTCTGTTTTAGCAGGTGCCAAAGCCAAGGACTGTCATTTCGCTGACTCTTCTCCTTCAAGAACTTATAAAAGGGATTGGTGGCCGTGCCGATAGTGTACGGAAAGGAAGGTCGATCTTCTGAGCCTCGGTACGTCTCATGGTAGTTGGGATTGTCTCCGTTGACTCCACCACCCCAAATGAGAAAGCCTTCCAGCCTGGCAGTAAATTGGACTTGTATGGTGGCTTTGTAAGGTACATTGACTTTCTTCTGAGAAGTTGTAATCCGGTAGGATGATCCCGCGTTGCCTTCTGTTGTTTGCCTCTCCTTAACTCGCACAATGTCCCATTTTATCTTGCCATTCTCATCTGTGTTCAGTACAGCACCTTCACTTCCGCCTGACAGGGTGATTGACCCTTTCAAGGTTCCCGCGGCAGCCCCAGCTATTAATCCAGGAGACTGGTAACTGAGCGTTACTGAAACTCCGTATCCAGACTTGAACCTTGTGGAAGACGAGTGTGTCACGGTGCGAACAGATTTGATTTCTCGAGCTATGGTCGTGTCTACTCCTGAGGAATCTTGATTATTTATCGCTCCAACATCTTGTATAATGGGTGTCATTGATTGAATTTCTGGCTCTAGGTAATCAATGTTCTTTACCTTGAGTGAAAAGTTCTCGTAAACGATCTTCAGACGATTTGTTGACATGTAATCCTCACATCCATTCTGATAGTGGGCTTTCCAGCTGTCACCTTCTCGTAGGAAATCCTGCCCCGCGCGTCTGCCTCTGCATCCACCAGCCCAACCATAGCCGAGATAATTAGCCAGAAGAGCTAGGTTATCAAGTGTCAAATCCATGACTCGCGTCTTGACTTCTAGCACTGATGTGAGAGGGAGCTTCTCTGCAAAAGAGAAGTGAAGTAAAGATTCTAGCATTATCAAATACTGGTCATATTGAAATTGACTTAATGACTAACATACTGGGATTATGAACACGTTAATTGCGATTGTTTCTGTATAATCGGAAAAGTTGCCGAAAATTGTAAAATTTCGAAAATGCCAAAAATGTGTAACGGTGTGGCCAACCCATTCATACTTCGTGCTTCAGGCTTGAGAAGTTTAAGACATTATGGCATTTAGAATCTACAACCGATAAACACGAAAAACCTCGCCAGGGAACGGATTCTATAACACCAACCATCATCAAATCATAATGGCTCACTCAGCAACATGTAACATCTACATACCATCGTACATGTTGCAACATCTGAGCTGGTTTATGCTCGAGAGTGCATGGGAAGAACCACGATGGATACCAACCACGTAGAAGTTATTTCTGCTGCATTCCATGGTGTCACCTTTAACATTTTGATCATAACACTCTTTATACCAGTGTGGGTGAAGAGCAGGTTTACAACAGGTGGCCCACTGAATACTGTTCAGCTGATGTCCTCCTCCGCGGTGGAGTCCTCGAATAAAATGGCCTGATGGACAAGTGGCCCAGCCTTCCCTAAAACGCAAAACATCGATAACTTCTTGTTTGTTTGTTTGTTTGTTTGTTTGTTTCGGTTTATGGCTGTTTGTGTTTTCACCTTGAATGTTCGTTTCCAGTTTCAAGTCGGAATGCATTAAGTAACTGACTAATTTTCTGGTTTAAATGGTATACGAGTAGCATACCAAGTTAAGATAACTTCGAAACATGTATGTCAGTTTCTAGTCGTCCTCCCTCGNCATTCTGATAGTGGGCTTTCCAGCTGTCACCTTCTCGTAGGAAATCCTGCCCCGCGCGTCTGCCTCTGCAACCAGCAGCCCAACCGTAACCAAGATAATTAGCCAGAAGAGCTAGGTTATCAAGTGTCAAATCCATGACTCGCGTCTTGACTTCTAGCACTGATGTGAGAGGGAGCTTCTCTGTAAAAGAGAAGTAAAGTAAAGATTCTAGCATTATCAAATAATGGCCATCTTGAAATTGACTTAATGACTAACATACTGGGAGACTTAATTATGAACTCGTCAATTGCGACCGTTTCTGTATAATCGGGAAAGTTCCTGAAAATTGTAATATTTCGAACATGCCAAAAATGTGTACCCGTATGACCAGCCCATTCATAATTCATGCTTCAGACTGGAGAAGTTTAACACATTGTGGCATTTAGAGGCTACAACCGATGAACACGAAAAACCCCGCCAGCGACCGGATTCCAGGACACTAACCATCATCAAATCATAAAGGCTCACTCAGAAAAATGTATTAACTACATACCATCGTACATGTTGCAACATCTGAGCTGGTTGATGCTCGAGAGTGCATGAGAAGAACCCCGATGGATACCAACCACGTAGAAGTTATTTCTGCTGCATTCCATGGTGTCACCTTCAACGTTTTGATCATAACACTCTTTATACCAGTGTGGGTGAAAAGCAGGTTTACAACAGGTGGCCCACTGAATGCTGTTCAGCTGATGTCCCGCTCCACGGTGGAGTCCTCGAATAAAATGGCCTGATGGACAAGTGGCCCAGCCTTCCCTAAAACGCAAAACATCGATAACATCTCGTTTGTTTGTTTGCTTTTGTTTATGTTTGTTTCTTGTGTTTTCACCTTGAATGTTCGCTTTTTGTTTCAAGTCGGACTGCATTAAGTAACGACTAATTTTCTAGTTTAAAATTAATGGTATACGAGTAGCATACCAGCTTATGATAACTTCGAAACATGTATGGTAGTTTCTAGTCGTCCTCCCTCGGTAAGCTAAAGTGAATTGACTAACCCAAATAACTTTTCTGAATCGCTATGCGTTATAACTAAGCTTCCTAAGTACTTTACCTGCAGATCGTTTCTTTTTAGGGTAAAGCTGCAAATTTAGAAGTGTGTTCTGAAGAGAAAAAAGCAGCCTGTACACTCGCACCAAACGAATTAAAAATAATCACCCCGACGTGACTCGAAAGACTCACCTTGAAAAACTCATATCCCAGTCAGCCGACGTACAAGTGTAAGGTTTTTCTAAATGTAATTCAGGTGGCTGGCAGCATTTCACTTTCCTGAAGTCCCTCAAGTCATCAGTTCCTAGAGTCCGTTGAAATCCTTTGACGTAAAGACGGTCATACTGAGGTGTACACCACGAGTATCCCTCTTTTGACATTTCCCTTTGAAATTCCTTGTTGTCGTAACACTGCTGAAATGTTGCGGTTGAAAAGGTAAAGAGTGTCACCAAGATCGCGATTCTAAGGTGAGGTGATGCCATTGTAGTAATCTAAAGCATAGTCAATAAAAGAGAAATCATTGCCTTATAAAACTTGCCCGATTTGAGTCAGCATAAAAATTAAAATGACCTTTTATTGCTTTTGTTACCTTTTTCAGGCGATGCCATTGTAACAGTCTAAATCACAATCAATTAAAGAGAACTCACTTTACAAAGCTTGCCCGATTTTACTAAGCGTACGAAATAATATGTCCGTTTACTTCTTGTAATGCCTTTTCAATTGACTGGTTATAGCAAAAAAAAAAAAAGCGTATAAGGAAACGTTTGCGAATTAATACTTCCTCTGCGTGGTAAATCTAATGCTGTAACAGAGCATGTTTCCACTCTGGTCGAATAATTAGATTTGGAAAGGACCTTTTACTTAATTATGTTACTTTGTTCTTAAGTCTTGTCCCGTATAGGGCGAAATGGGCGCGAAGAAGGTTAGTTAACCACAGATAATTCTATTAAACACGTAACCAAAGTCTTTGGATAATCCTTGCGCACGGATTATAGTTGAATTTATCTCTCCAGTTAGTCCAGACAGCAAAGAAAAACAAAAGACAGTAAAACGTGTTTAGGGAGTATTCGTTTAAAGGAGTCTCATAAAAGTTCGATTTCGTCCCCATTGCTTTGAGCGGAAAATGGCGAGAAGCACGTTGGAAGTAACCATGTTTATGGGCGAGTTATTGTGATGATGACAACAATACCATCCAAAAACAAAAGGATTATGTTAAGTTCTGGGTAAGCCTATCTTGGTAGCAAATAGAGTTAAAACATTTGTGACTTACCCGACTCAGACGCGTTGAACGACTAAATTGAAAAACTACAATGACAATGTACGTTTTCTCCGGACCATTAAGTTATGTATTATTAACAAGGAATGGGTTAAGAGTAAAACTTTTCCTTTTGTTTTAATTAAACAAGGTGCTGATGATTGTGCGTGTAGCCCAATAATGCAACATCAAAAACGCAAGAGCGGAATGTTAATTCAACCAAATGTGATTTTTTAACTCACTGGACCTTAACTTAACGCCTGACTTAACGGCTGAAGAGACTGCACCTTCGAACAATTAACCCGAATGATACATTTGCTGGTACCACTAACTGGTGCTAACTAATTTTTATTTAGCCCTGTTTTGAGCCATTTATGGGATCGCTTATTAGAATATGGGCTTTTTCGTAGATATACTATTCAAAGTTATTTTCGCAAGGTTTTGACAGTACATCACTATTTTTACCGGACTAATCATAACAATTACAATTTCCTCACATGTGATTGGTGCATAAACTGCTGTATTTTGCTCTAAGTAATCAGCAAAGTGGTAATCGGATAGTGTAATCGGACAGTTGGCTGTAGTCGGACACCTGTAATCGGACAGTTACATGAGCCAATCATTTTAAGTCCTATCCACTAAATCCACCAATTACAATATTGATTACAGTCACTATAGTAACCAATTCAAGAGATGACTTTGTAAAGTTTTAAACGTTCAGTATCTGGAGACTTTTTTTGAAAGAAACTTGACAGCCATTTTGCAGGCTATTTTCCATATTTTTAATTATGATATTTAAAAATGACCATTAAAAGTTCTTTTCGAAATTAAACTTTTAATTTTGGGGGAAAATTGTAACTGTTATGATTTATTGGTAACTGGATATCGTGTCGTCCAATTCAGTCTGTATTGACACACGTGATTAACAAATCGGACTCCCGCTTCGCGGTCGTCCGATTTTGTTAATCACTCGTATGATTACAGACCGAATTGGACTCCACTCAGTCCTATTAACATTATTAATACTTGGCTTTCTAGTATGTTTGTCTCCAATCAAAGAGAAGGCTAAATTTATAAGCAATCTGGTCTTGAATTAAGTATGTTTTCTTAGAAGAAGCTACTTTTTCATCATTATAGATAAGACCATCAACAAAAGCCCTTCTAACTTATGTTTAGAGCAACTGTGCAAGCTACAACAGCCATAGATAGGCTATCGAACTTTTGGTCAGGTCATAAATAGGCTAGGGTAAATCGCAGTAGGGTAAGGGTTTTGGGCAGAGGACCGCATACCCTCACTTAATTCTTCTGTGAGCCCCCCCCCCCCCCTCCAAACCGGGGCTTGGCCCAAGCAGCGGGGACGATTCTAAAAAATATATTTATTTCTAACAATTCCATAGCTAGTTGTGTTTCTTAGATTGGATCTCACTGGGTCAATCTCTGGTACCATTTAACAGTTAGTAGTTACCTTTGCACTTATCTTTATTAGTCACTGAGGTGAGTTGAGTCACGATTTTTAAGTCAGTTGCCATTTGCCGAGTTTCGAAACCTTTGCTTGTCATTCGAAAAATATGTTATGTGATTTGGCAGCTGTTGAAATTTATTTTGGCATAGTGAGGGAAAAACAGCCACCTGCAGAAAGCACTTAGATTGGCTTCACTATTCTTCATGTAACATTACTTAATTACACTTAGTGCTACAAAAGCTAATGAATATAGAGTTACACATTTTCGACGAAGTGAAAGTACCATTTTCATTCAGTAAACCCTAAATTGGCGTTTATATCAAAGAAAGTGCCATTTTCTGGTCTTTCAAGTCGATAACAAATCAATAGAACGAAATGAAAATTTGGTATTTGACACGTTCAATGCTGTGCCCTTTCGGTTTTGAAAACCAGCATTTTGATGGTGTTCCATTATATTAGGGTTTCAGAAGGGCAATCGAAATGCTTGCTCTTTCTTCCAGAGCTGGTGTTCCACAGCAAGTACACAAAACAAGGAAGATTAAATGTAGAATTTAGGAAGAAGAAGCTCAGTGAAGTGTGAAATTGACTACAAAGTTTGCAGGTGCCTACAGCAAGCTGTCATTGAGCCGCTGATTTCATTACAGCTGCATATTAAATCCGCAAGGCCACAGCACAGCTTGACTAAGAGCACATAGTATCCTTCAACCGTGATGGTGGGTATTAGAAAGATGATTGAATGTAATGCTAACTTTCTAAAATAGAGTTATGATGTTATCGCTTTTACCCTGTATTCGAGTGGAAAAGTCACACCTGCAACCAAATGTAATTTTCTAACTCACTGGACCTTAACTTAACGCCTAACTTTACGACTGAAGACATTTCACCTTCGAACATTTAACCCGAATGATACACTTACCGGTACAACTAACTGGTGTTAACTAATTTTTATTTAACCCCGTTTTGAGCCATTTATGGGATCGCTTATTTCAATAAGCTGTCATTCAGTGAGCCGCTGATTTCATTATAGCTGCATATTAAATCCGCAAGGCCTATAATACAGCCTGGCTAAGGCGAAACAGTATCCTTCAATCGTGGTGGTGAGTATTAGAAAGATTATTGAATGTATTGCTAACTTTCTAAAATAGAGTTATGACGTTATCGCTTTTACCCTGTAATCGTGCAGACAAGCCACACATGCAAAGTCTTATCAGTGTTAGTTATTGTAATTATTTTGCCCTCAAAACGTTTGAATTTTTCGCGATGAACAAACATTTAGTTCATGGGTTTTTTTTTCATGTCGCTACACAAAAGTTAAATTGGGGGCGTTTACTGTTCTTGGGCTGTAGGAATCTATAGCTAATCAAAATAATTCTAATTTTTTTCCATTGTGCTTATTAAAACTGTTCTTCCTCCTCAACATACTCTAGTTGAAGACCGTCGAAAAAATTGAGCTTTTTCTTCCCTCAGGATGCTACTCACCTGAAAAATCCAATGTTGGAAATTAGTATACAGTCAATTCCAACTGATTTCGGAATTCAGTTTTTTGGGACTCCCAGAATATTCAGATACAGCAACGTAAATCGACTTCGCTCGTTCGGACGCCGTAGCTAAGATTCTGGAATATAAGAAGCCGGTAATGGCAGAATCTTGGGCGCTGTGCTTTCAAACGAAATTTTGGTTAAATTTTCAAAAATTTCGACTAGCCAATGGAGCAGCATTTTCCGGACTTTAGGGAAAATATGACAAATTCGCGATGCATCTGTATACCCAAATCTTCGAAAATCTCTTGCCAAGAATCTCCTGCCCATGTCCTTTTTCTCTCCCCGAATTCCGAAATTTTCGTTGAACGTATCTTGGGAATACGAAAATTTTCGGAATTCCCGGTAACTTTTCCGACATTTCCGTACTACTTGGCCCCGTTTATATGTTGCGAAAGTTCCGGTTTTCTAGGTTGAATGGGAAGCGACAACAGTAAGTTAAATCCTAACTTGCCTAATCAGCAATTAGGGCAAATTGAAAAATCTTTTCTTAACATATATCTTTTTATTGCAGCCATACCTTAAACAAAGAGAGTTCCAGTTTACGATGTGGCCAGTTTGGATGGTCTTTCTGCTTTTTGGCTTGTTTGCATCCTTTTCAAGTAAGTACTTGTAATTGTTTTAATTTAGAAATGATTACAATTTGACCATTAAGGGGTACAGAACATTAAAATAATTAGCACTAACCGTGAATTCAAAAAATAAAAAAGTAAAAATAATTGAGATAGGCGTTGACCAATCAAAATGATAATGACAAATTCGTCTTCCCATTCTTACGGAGACTAAGAGAAAAAATTCGCTCGACTCGGTCTCGGTCCATAAACACGCAAAAAAAAGAACTTGGCCAATATCCAGCCATCTTGACCTCACACTTGGTCAATAACCCATACATATCAACTCAATAGCTGGTTTTCACTTGACGTCACCACAATTCAAACTACAAAACTATTGATGATCCTGAGATTTTACTTTAATGATGTATATATAAGAGCAGCTGAAAACTAATATTCAAACAAATTTTCGCTCCGAATGGGTTCTTGGTTTTGTGATACACTGCGTTTGAATTTCTAAGCTTTTGCGTGACGCAGCATTTACATGACGGCCGAGAGAGCTGTCAAGATGGTTAAAAAAGTGACTTATTTCTGGAAATTTGGCTATCTGAACAGCCCATGTCTTAGAAAAAGTATT